TTTTTGCCTTGTTTTTCATGTTGTTTTATCATTTTTGTTCTTTTAAATTGGCCTGCCATTGGAAATAAAAAAAAATAAAAAATAAAAAATTCTAAATTAACAAAATATTTTATTCTATGTGTTTAGAAACCTCATAATGATTTATTCCTCTTTCTTTTAATTTTAGAATTTAATTTTAAGACTTTTATAGCTAGCAAATTACTTAGCAGTTTCTGTGTTTTTGTTCAAATAATAACTAGATGAATTTCAAAATCAAAAATAATCATATAAAATACATTTTTATACAAAGTGTCTTCTTTTATACAAAGTGTCTTTTTGCACACAATTCTAAGACTTCAGAGTTGCTTTTCAAATAGAAGAATAAAATTCCGTGTTTTTTCCAGATATATTTTCAAAAAATTCCAGTCTAATGTCGCAATTTATATTGACAATGCAGAGGCAACAATATACAGGGAACCACAAAAGATTAATGCTTGTAATTTCTATTGCATATTTAATTTTTTAAAAATTTAACTCCACTCCATGTAGAAATTTATTATAGAAATGTTTTGTTTTTTTTTAAATATCTAAAAAAAGTAATTATGTCTTCAAAAACTATAGTGTATCAATAGTATAAGTATTGCGAAAATTTTTTATTAAAATAAAAAATTAATATTACAACTAATAGGAATCAAACTCAATTGAAATTAAAATGATCAAAGATACTCTTCAAATCTTGCTGACAGGGAAAGAGTAAATTAGACAAGAACGGAAAACTAGAAGAGAATGTTAAAAAAAAAAGTGTGATTTATTTTACTCTGAGAATAATAAAATAAAAAATAAATAGAACATAATTGGGAGTGAAAACAAGACTGTAAAAACATCCAGGAAAAAAAAGTGCAAATTAAACTATTTTCAATTATAATATAGTAATAAAATAACGGATTAGTAATAAAGTGATAATAATAGTAATAAAATAAAACAATATAATATAGCAATAAAATAATGCGGAATAAAAAAACTCATATCTGTCCATTTATTATAAAAAATAAATTTTCATAACAGATATCAGGGATTGATCTGGATGAAACAGGAGCTGTTTTGCACCCTCTTCATGACATTCGAATTCCAAAAAACTGCTCCTTTCCAAAATTCAAATTATAAAAAAGGACCCATTCACAAATTCTAATTTATACAAATGACTCATTCACAAAAGTATAATTTGTAAAAACAGCCTCTTAACAAAATTTCACTTTAAAAAATGATTGTTCAAAATTGTTCCATAGAGGATACTCAGAAAAAAAAATCAAGAAACAACACGATTTTACGGCAGCATTCGTCACGCGTGAAATGCACCAAAACTCAAATTTAAAATATGCGGTTTAATATTTAATATATTGAAAATATCAGAATTTGGAAAGCCTTATACCTTGTGAAAAAACCCAAAATGATTACCTTTTGATGATGTGAAGTTACAATAGATTTGTCTCGATTTGTATGTCTCAAAGACTGATAACTCTAATTTTGTCATAATCGTAATAACATCGCATTCAAAAAAAATCAAAATTTTAAAAGAACCATGTGAAAAATGGCGAGAAATCTATAACCAATCATTACATTAAGACTGAATCGTCACGAACGAATGTGTCAGGAAATCATAACATTGTATTTATAATAACGGAATTCTAAAAACCACATGTAAAGAGCCAAAAAAACAATAATTTAGGAGAACCATCAAACAATCGCCACAAATCAAGCATGCCAGAAAGTGAAAACTCAAACTTTGTAATAGCATCGGAAAATCAATAGCCAAAAAATGATTGGAAATTTACAATGGAATTGTCATGAAACAAGCGCATCAAAAATGTATAGGTCAAATTTGTATTATCGTAACATGATAATAAAATAATAACCGAATTTAGAAGAAAAGAAAGAAACAAGCAGAAAAGGCTAAAAATCAATCAGAAAATAAAATGGATTGTAAAAAACCATGTGAAAAGCGCCAAAAAAACTCATCAAACGAATTTAAATTACGATGGAATCGTCACGCATCGAATGCGCCATAAATGGATAGCACAAAATTCAAAGTCGAAAGGTCTAGCCGTGACATTGCATAAAAAATATCGAAATCAGAAAAACCAATGTCGAAGGAACCGTAAAAATTATAAATAAATATGGATAAACTATCGTTGAACAACGTAAAATTAGGCTGGAATCGTCACGCATCGAACATTTCGAAAAAATGGATGGCGAAATTTAGCAAGCTTGGGTGACAGAGAATTCAGCAAATAAACAATAAACAACATTATTCATCAGAGATTATAAAACATTATTTAACCCAATAAATTTCACCATCATAAATAAGATTATACAATCTGAAGTACAGCCATCCTTCCATCTGTTCTGGATTCTAGCAATTAATAACCCTTTTCCATTTGAAAGTTTTCTAAGTCATAATACCACGGTATGCTACACCTGTGTGAAATTTGGCTACATGCCAAATGGGTGAAAACAAATATTGTATGTTGGGAAAGTGTTACATGGAAAATGTTGCCCCAAAGATAGTACACTTGGCGATCGCCAAATGGAACACCCTCACTTTTCCAGATTTTGACTTAAAACTGTTAAATTCCCAGACCTTTAGGGCGATTTCCAAATTCCCTGACTTAGCTTGGTTTTACAATAGCATAATAACCCTTTTTTCTTATCTAAAGACAATTCCTTGCTTGTAAAAATCAATTTTTAATATTAATTTTTTATTATTAAATATAAAAGTAATCGAAATTGTTTTAATTACAATATATGCAAAATTTTAACATACACCAAAACTTAATTTAATTACAAAATCCAACAATTAAATGGCTCCTGTGAAACAAAATTTCAAAATGTCATATTTTTATTTCTCAGCCTATTTAACTAGTTTCATTGAATTTTTGTCCTTTAAAAAAATAGTAAGAAGTAAATGAATTACTTAAAGAAAGAGTAGAGTACTTTTTTTCCCCCTTGCATTGTTAAATAAAATATTTTTTTATTGTATAAATTGTTTTGGAAATATGGCAAAATACACAAAATGTAAAATCATAAGGTTTAAACTTTTGATAACTTTCCTAATATCAATTTAGATCGACACACTCCTGTTACAATTTTGAGACAAAAATCTGTATCAGACAAAACAAAAGTATGTTTATTTAGAGAAAAACTTTTTGCATCGCATTTCATAACTGAATTCAGAGGTAGAACTAATAACTATTTATAAGCTATCCTTCAAACCATTAAAATAGATTCGAAGTATAGTTTAAATCTGAACTATTAGATCAAAAGTTACTCATGTTAATATGGTACACATAAAAGCAATTGCAATTAAACAAGATATTTTGAAGAACAAGCAAAATCTTTGTTAATGGATAGGAAGTTGTTTTGACATGCCATGCATATTAGAAAGAAAGCAGTAGTGATGGATGTGTCTTAATTTTAATAAGAAACGAAACAAAAATAGTGTTTTCATTTTTATTTATAATTTAAATGATTTCAAACAAAAAAAACGCGGTCCAAAAATAACTCTGTGATGCAAATCGCAGCTTGACTAAAAAATAAACTCTAATAAATATTATATATGTATAGAAGCCATCAATAATTGTGATTCAAAGTTCATAGATGGTAATTTAGAAATCCCTAAAAATAGATCAATTTACAAATATTAATTTCTAACAAAATAAAAACAATGAAACAAAAAATCTACAAGAACATAAATTTAATAGAAATCAAAAATGAGGTTGAAATATTTTAATATGATAAATAATAAAACCAAACAAAATATCAAGAATTCCACACTAGACTAAACTCAAGTATCAAATTAACTTAAAAGAATAAAGCAATCAGTAATGCGCATACTATAGATGAATGTCGTTCGTGAAAAATTTCTCATCAACAAGGAAAATTATTTTAAATTACTCATTATATACAATAAAAAATAAATAAAAATGCTCAAAATTTTCTTAATCAATCTGGCAGGAATATTTCTTTCTCAGCTTTGCCCTTTCATCATTGCAATCAAATAGACTGTGGTTATATTACTTTCCTAGCGGCCTGCTTTGTTTTTTGGCATACTCATCACAACTATATTATCGATTTTAGATGGCGACATCATAGCATTTTGAGCATAAACTCTCGTTAAGTCCTTTTAAATCATGGTCTAGCTAAAACATGTACATTTCATATTTCAGCTTTTTTTTTTAAATCGATAATCCGAATTTAACCCGGAAAATGAAATGTCACTTTTGCTGCAATTAGAATTACGAAAATTAAAACACTTTAAAAATATCAGCAATTTTAAAAACAAAAGAGTTGAAACTAGAGTCAATAATTTGCTTGCAGAAAGTTTTTAAATTGAGATTTTGTGTTAACAGAAAGTTTTTTATTCTATTTAAGTGGAGAATGTGTTTTTGCAAAATAACGATCGTGTGCAACATTTTTCGTCATGTGCGCAACACATTTTGTGTCATTGCTGGGAGTTAAAGAGGGAAATACAAGTTAACTTTTGAATTTATTGTGAAGTAAAATGAAAAGTAACTTATTAATTCACACTTTATTACGCCAAAACATAAAGAAATCACACTATATCTTTTACTTTTATGATTTATTACATATGGAATTGTATTCATCATTTTATTAAGTTTCTGTCTTATATATTAAATTGGACTTTTACTGCGCATGGCGAAAGGCTACAAGTTATTGATAAAACAGAGTAGGAGAAAAAATGCTTCATTTAAATTAAGTCCTATACTGCATTCCTGTTTCATTTAAATTTAATTATTCTCCAATATTTTAGTATTTAATTACCTTAATAACTCTTGATTTAGAAAGTTCATCCATTAGGCACACCTTTCTTAAAATTTCGCATTGATTCACATTAAATATTTAAAGTAAAAACCATTTTTTAGTAATTATTCCCTTTAAATCATATCTTTCGTTTAGTCTTTAAGGAAAAATCTAATCCTATACAAGAATGTTGTTTAAATTACCTGTATCCAAGAATGGAACCTGCTAGAGCTTTCATACTGGCATCATCTGCAAGAGACATGTTTGCACTGACTGTTGCGGATGCTGTCTCACTGTGACTACTCAAGCTGAATCTTTTATTTGATGAAACATCAGCCTGAACTTCTAATCTAAGAAGAAAAAATTTAATATTTCAATAAAATTATGCCTCAATTTTCTCTTAAAAAGTATAAACTAATTTTCTCATTCATTTTAAACATAGGGCTTTAAGTTCTGATATTTTTGATTTTGGTGATGAAAAATATTTTTTTCCTTATTTGTACATTATTTTTAGCTTTTTGACTAAACATTTCTGTGTGTTCAGAATAGGTTTACCACAGTCTGGAAAATTTTTAAAGTCGTAGCACAAGAGTGATAAATCTAGATGTTTTAAGTTAATTTTTAATTTAAACTAAATATAGATATAGGAGCAAAAAAATACTATTGGGATATTTTTGTAATTCTCAAATGAAAGCTAAATTTAAGCATTTTTCTATAACCTTGAAAAATCTTGACTAACAATTATTGATTTTATTCAGATTATGAGAGCTCTGTCAGAACATCCCATTTTTTATGAATACAAATGCAATTCTTAAAATAATCATTTTGAATAATCGAAAGATTTGGGTTTTCCATTTAATATCTTTTTAATCTAATTAATAGTTTACCTAGAAAATTACTTCAGAAACATACTTAGATGCATCTGTGTTTTTGTTTTGAAATGATTTAAACCTTACTTTAACATATTTGATTTAAGAAGTTATGCATTCAATTAAAGAAGTCAGTCTTTTGCAAATTTTAAATAAATATTTGTATGAAGGAATATTAACTAATTGACACTGATTATTTTTTTGATGCAACAGTACCCCAATAAAATTTCCTAAATATTGATCTCAGTTTGTCCATTAAATAAATTCTACTGGAAAAACAGTTAAAAACTTTTTTTTTTTCAGAATAAAGTAACTCTGGAATTAAAAATAGTATATATTATTATTTTTTGTGATAAAATTTGCCCCTATTGTACTTAAATAAAGCGAATTACATTTTCTTTTAATTTGTTGTTTGCTGTTTTTTTAAAAATAGTCTGGTACATGTATACTGTACCAAAAAAAAGGTGGTCACTACAGGGTCTGTAATTAGCTTAACAAACTGTGGCATTAAATAAAATTAAATACAATGAAAATAAGTTCTGAATAATAATATTGTTTGGTAAGTTTTTATTTATTAAAAAATTACATTTTAAAAATATTTCAAAAATAAAAAATAAATAAAAACACCTTAATACAATATAAATTTGTTTACAATCTTAACAGAAAAAATTCCATACAAAAACCAAAAAATAAAGTATAAAAACTTAGGCAAGCACTTCATTTTCATTTCCGCTTTTGAATGTAACAAGCATAATGTGTTTTGAACAAAATAAAAAAAGGTACTGAAAAATTTGATTGAACTTTTGATTTTATTTTCAAAGGTTCTATTTTTATTTGAACTTGTTCAATAATTACTTCATTAAACTAATTTCAAAAATAATTAGAAAATGCATTTTATGATGGTTTATTTTACATTAAGCCTTTTTAAAACATTTCGCTCACAATTTATTTTAATAGATATTTTTGCAAGAAATCTTTGATATTTTAAACATTAAAAACTTATATATTTACGTCTATTTAAAGAAATATAGATTCCCATTAGCATTTAAACATAAAAGTGGAAAATTTTTATGAAAAAATTCGATATTTTTTCATTGGTTCTATTCAAACTGTAACTATTTAAATAAACAAAAAATTAACTTTTTAAAATTTATTATTTTTAAAGAAAAAAACCAAGCTTGGTTTCTTTTTTTAAAAAAATCATTTGGTTCAAACCATCATTTAAACCAGCGGTTCTTAACCTATGGGTCGCGACCCAAAATTGGGTCGCGAAGCATATTTCTTGGGTCGCGCTGAGTTGAACCAAAGAAGTTAGTAATACACCATATCATAAGTAATACCAACACTTCCTAGAATAAGTCATTGTGGCTTACTCAGCCTATGTTTAATGAGGAATGAGGAATTTGTTAATATTAATCAATTTCAAGAACAATTAATAGAAATACAAAGTGGCCAAGCACTTCGATACAATTTCTACAAAAACACTGAATCTTTATGTGCTTTCCGGTTAAAATTAAAAACCGAAAAGCCAATAATTGTTAAAGAAGCCCTAAAAGTATTATTGCCCTTTTCAACAACATATATGTGTGAGGCTAGTTTTTCGGCTCTGTGTGCAATCAAAAACAATTACCGGAACAAGTTAAATCCTGAAATAGATATAAGTTGCTCCTTGACAAGCATTCAACCGAGGTTTGAAGATCTTTCAAAATCTATTCAAGCACAAGGTTCTCATTAAAACTGTATGACTTGCATTTAAAATTTAAAAGACTTAACATATGTATTGATATTTCTTTTTTTTTTTGGGGAATAAGTTAAAATGTCAATTATTTTCAAAAAGTTATAAATATATTTTAATTTGGTCAATAAAAATTATTAAAAACACTTGATTATTAATTAAATTTTCCTTGGATCGAAAAGTACTTTTGTTTATCTTTATTATTAAAAAAATAAATAAAAAATTTGTAAGTTAAAAAAAATCATCATCGTAGGATTGAAGATTTTTTAAAAATACGATCTAAAATAAAGCAATGAAAAAAGTTTGACTTTTTTTGGGGGTCGCGACATGAACATATTTCTCAAATTTGGGTCGCGACATAAACATATTTCTCAAATTTGGGTCGCGGCTTAAAAAGGTTAAGAACCACTGATTTAAACCATGTTGGTTTAAACTAATTAATCCTGTGTATAAGTGATGGATTATAGAAATTTTGGGAAAAATCCAGTTTTTGTGAAACTGTAAAAATCTACTCAATTTTGTCAAAAAAATCACAAGAAACAGTTTTATACCCAATCTTTATGTGACAGGTCCTTTTGTAATATATTCGCGAAAAATCTGCCAATAATTTTCTCAAAAACTCTAAACTTAACATAGAATTAAATTTTATGCATGGGTCTATTTTTTTTATTTTTAATATGTCTTTTAAAGAAGTTGTAATTTTACTCCATATCCCCAAGAAAATCTCTGTGTTATCCTTAGTAAATATATATATATCAAAAGAGCAGTTTCAGTTCGGGGCAAAACTGAAGGCTGCCATCAATGGAACCTGAAATAACGTTATCTCCCAGGATATATGCAACATTATATATAAACGTAATGGATTGTTTAACTATTATCAGAAGTGGCTTGATTTAGAACAAAATGTTTCTTCCTTTCTTTTTTACCAATTAGATGTTTTTTTCCTGTCCAGGCGGAGCAGAAAGTGAATTACTAATATGTGTTTAGATATAATTTCTTAACATATATGTAAAGCCGGGATAGCCTGGTCGGTAGGGTGCTGGGCCCATGTCCGAGAGTTCGAACCCCACCGGGCAAAGACAGCGTGTAGTAAATGGTGACTGATGCACTGAATCTGTCGAGTCGCAAAGTCCACCATGTTCCCATAACAAATCAATACCTCTGGGGGTACTGGATTGGAGATGGATCGTTCCTTGATTCAGGTCAAAATTACGATCTGTGGATGAATGACTGGGTCCGTCCTATAAACGGGTGTGACGTATGGGTGTGGCAAAAGTCTAATTCTTGGCCATAGATGGCGCCTCTGGAAAACAAGAACAATCGCACCCCGAAAGAGAGAATGTATATGTTTAAATCTAATTGGGTTTTTTTTTGTCCAATTATGGTAAAAAATCAAGTAGTTGGTATACATTGTATTTCACTTCTTGAAGCAATGGACAAGCTACCGGAATCTTTGACTATCTTTAAAGTAACTGTTTTTAATAAAAAGTAATTTACAAAATTAGAAATTTCAATGCCATTGTTACTTAAAAACATTGCATAATAATAATTACTACAAAAAGTATATCACATATGTAAAAAATAAAGATTTAAAAAAAACACATTTTATTACTTAGCAGCCATTAAGGATGCACTAGCTATACTGCCAGCAAGAGCAACGTTGCTTGCATTTTCAGGATCATTGTCTCTGTCCTGATTCAAGGCAATGCGGTCGAGATGGCTGCCACTTCCCAAGCTCAAACTGGCCGACATTCCCAAGGATATTTCACCTATACTTGGATTCACACCCCTCTGGCTTGCAGTTGTGTCTACACTAGCCCCATCTATTTTTAAAAATAAAATATTTCTTTTAAAAACATAAATAAGTTTATCATTCAAGAAATTTTAAAATTACATAATTTTTAATTAGAAAAATACTTTATAAAGAGATAAAACACACGATTATTGAAATACTGACGGAATGAAAAGAAATGTTTATAGCCCATAAGGGAAAAGGAAATTACATAAAACAAAAAAAAATTTTCTGATAATAGCATAATAGCTAGTTAACAAATTAATCTCGGATTTGTTTGGATGGAGATCATAATGACACAAGAACAGGAAATAGACCCGAAGGATATTAACAAAACATCTGCTGAAAGTAGAGAAATGTAACTGTTAAATAAAATAAATAATAAATAAAAAGGGATTGAAGGATGCTTTTGAGCCAAGAAATCATGTGATAAAGTTAATACATTGAAATCATTGTAAGAAATAAAGCTTGCTATTTCGAATGCTTATTAAAACAAATATATATATATATATATAAATAAAATATATATAATTTCAAGACTAAGTTAATAGAATGTCGAAATTTTCTCAAATAAGTTAGAGATACAGATGAAACAAAACTTTGGCCTGGCCGAATAATGAACTATGATTCAGCCTATAACACTTTATGTTGTGAATATTCTTTTTACATAAAATATTGTCTTTTAAATTACACCTGATAAAATTTAGTAGAAATTTACATTTTTAAAGTTTGTGCGCATTAGTATTGAACTCTTGGAACAAGAAACCATTTAATAATTAATAATATATTTTCTATTGCATTCAAAAGTTGTAAAGAAAAAGAAGAAAGAAATCAAAATTAAATTACAACATGTAATTGGGTTAATAATTATATGAGCAACTTCAGTTGCTTTAAAATACAGCTATTAAATTACTACATTAAACATTTTTAACTTTGAAATTTATGAAAATAAAAATGGGCATACTTAAAGAATTTCCTTGAAAATTATATTTTATTTAGTAGTTATAGGAATAATATGTTGTTTTATATATATATATTAATCTGTTAACAAAATTTAACAAATTTGTATGGACATTGATCAAGATTATTAACAAAAACCCAGGAACATGCAGAGAATTATTAAAAAACAAAAAACTCAATTTTTATTATTTCTTATAAACTAAAATATTAATGTGCCCATTTACTTAGATATCCATCCTAGATCTAAATTCTAAATTTTAATTTTAAATTATTTAAGTCATTAAGTTTATTTGAGGTTTGTTATTGTCACATGAAAAAATATTTTCTTGATTAATAATTGACATACCATAAAATATTTACTATGTTTATTATCATCATATTATATATAAGATTAATTAACATCATTTTATTTAAAGATGCACATTAAGTTGAGAATCTTGAATGAAACTAAGAATATTAAAATAGATGGAATATAATATTGCAAACATTTATTACGAGTTCAATGCTAAAGCTCAATATTCTGTATGGCAGCCAAATTAGGCGCTTCATACTATCTCCAAGGTTCAATCTACACCTTAAAAAGAGCAGGATGCAAAAAACTGAAAAGGGCACTATATCACCCAAAAAAAGGGCTTTATATTTCAGTAAAATTTGCATAGCTTTTAAGAAACCTAATATATACAATGTTCTCGATTTCATCCTTAAAGAAATTTTTATAGAAATAGTTTAACTTAAAAATAATTTCTCAGTCAAATTTGTGTACACTATAAATCGTTTTAAAATCAGCAAAAATCTTGCATTCTGAACATGTTGCGTGTCACAATAATGTATTAAAAATATCAAGGCCATACTTGGAAATCTAAAAAAAGTAAAATATGTATAGATATCTTCATCAAGGGTGAGCCAAGAAAATGTAAAAGAAAAATTTTGGAATAAAATTGCATAGCGCACCATAATTAACTCCAGATTGATTGTTTCCCATTCCGATTCCTTGTTCCTCATCAAATTCTATTCGGACACCAGATGCAGAGGTAGAAACGCCACATCCTCCGGATCTACAAAGCGATATGGGAACAACACCATACACATAAGCTAATAAAATAGGCACACCAATTCCTAGAACAAAAAATACAAATATTCAACTCTTATGAAAATGATTCAACAAGTACGGCACAGTCCACTATGACAACAAATTCAAAAAACTAATATTAAAGTTACAAAAATTGTTTGAAATAAAGTTAAAAAGTGTTTTGCAATTGCAACAAAGAGTTTTCAGGGAAATATATTTTTCTGTTATTGGAGTGAGCATTATTATTAAAAAAAAAAAGATCTAACTGGAGGATATTTCTCATTTATTTCTGGTATCAACATAAAAAAAAAGTAACATTGTTTTCCTACTTATGATTTTTATCAAGAAACATTTTTGGATAACCACCAACTAAGTTATCTTCTTCTTAACAAAAGAAACTGCTTGTCACATAAGAGGTTGTGATCCACGAAAAAGTTCAGAAAATTCGTGCAACTCCAGTAGGTTAAAGTTAATTCTTCAAATACGTAAAATTTCATAATTTTCCAAAACTGTTAAAACAATTTTTTATTTGCCCGAACAAAGACTTAAAAGTTATGCGTTAAAAATGGAATTGTAAAAAGAACAGTTCCGTGTTGTTTTAAATTATACAATCATTGAAGAGATAATTTTTACTCTTTCATTGTTTTCGCGTTTTCTTAACTTTTGGCTTGTTCTTTTTAGTTCAATTACATTAAAAAATTTACTCTGATAAACGTTTAAGTGTTTTTTATAACATATTAATCATGTTACAACTAAAATATATTAATTCTTAAAATGTATTCGCCTAATCTTAAATATATATATATATTCTTTTTAATGCTTTCTGTAATTATCCTTATATTGAGCTTTCCCCACACCACTTTAATCGTGTACTAAACAAGACCTAGGTGGTAATCTAGCAAAAATATACCTTCCCTACACACACAATTGCCAATAAAATATTTATATTTGCAATTAAAATAATTTATTTAAGTGTACAGTTTTATATATAGTATAATATTTTTAACTAAAATGTTAAAGATAGTGCATAAAACAATTTCATGAAATTTTAGTTCTCCTAAATAGAAAAAAAAAGTACAACATCTTACAGAGACGAAATTAAAATAATTTAATAAACCTTCACATACCTACTGCAATCCCAGCTAGTATAGGTGAGACTACAACGGAGGCGACAACTCCGCTGGTGACAATAAGATTTCTGCTATGTTTGCTGGTCGCTGGACGAGTATATTTTGCATGAAGCTATAAGAATAAGAAGATGGAAATTTCTTTGAAGTGGATAAATAAGAATTAGAGAGAGAATTAAACTGTGAATACAATTTAAAATAGAATAAAATGTTTAAAAAAAATTTAATAAAACGAAGAATAAAGATTTTTTAGTATCAGAAAAACTTGTTTTGACAATCGTAAAAGCACACACCTTGTATCATTATGTACATTATTATGCTATTTTATACCTCATTGAAGATACTTTAGCTTAATAAATTTACTACTTAGCTCCAAAACTATGACTATATAAATATTTTTACAGACCTTAAAAACATATTCAGCTTTTAAACACAATTTATTTGAATTTATAATTATTAATTGATTTTTTTTCCACTTTAAAAGAACAAGCCATTCTTCTAATTTTTCTCTTCTTCACCTAAAATATTTACAATAAGTATTGATTTTTTTCACCTTTTATCCAATTTTTTTTATTTTGTGTCATTTTATTTTTTTGTGTTATTTTTAATTTATGGTTTTTTTTAGTAACTTATTTATTTAATTTCTTTTTATTAGGGTTAATTTTTTTTTCAATTTTTACTATTTATTTGACAAAATATGTAATGTATGAAATTTCTCTATTACCTGAACAGGATTCTTAACTTTATGATGAACATGTTTTCCTTCTTTTTCTCTTTCTTTTTCATACTTCAATTTTTTTTAAATTTTATTAAACAAATTTGTTGATTTAAAAAATATTAACAGGAGTCGCTGACTCCCTGACTTTTCTAGGTAAATTTCAATGATAATTGAGGCCATATTTTAATCAAAACCATGCGATTTTTCATCAGAAAACTTAAGATTTTTTTTATTTGTAATGCCAAATATTAGATTTTCTGTGTAAAAAAAATATCATTAATTCAGGATGGCAACATTTCAGTTTGACTAAAATGTTAAATTTTTATAACAAAGTAGATGTTAGATCTCATTTTTATTACTAACAGTTTTATGACTGTTTATTTTTCCAGGTATGATATAGGAGTTTCCCGAGGTTTTTGTAAAAAAAAATTTAAACTTTCCCTGATTTTCCGAGTTAAAATAAAATTCCTTGACAATTCCAGGTTTTCCCCGACCTGTGAGAACAATCAGTAATTTTTGAATAGCTAACTGGAATATCAAAATTATTACCTTTCTCCCGACCCAAACTGGAATGCCTATAATAATAGCAGGAACTGCAATGCCGGCTATCAATGCAATTCCTACAGGAGCTCCTACCAGCATGCCCAGCTGCCACATTATTTTCTTTTTTCTACTCCAAGGTTTCTTACCCCAGAATGTACAACCAGACGGGCTAAAAGACAAAAAATACTATTTCTTTGGAATTGCATGTATATGTTAGTTTACAAATATTCTATTAAAAATATTTTTATGTTTTAGGTTTAAAGATCTTTAAATGACATGTGCCTTAATTTCTGTCCTTTATATATATATATATGGGTGCAATGTAGATCTACCTCCTCATGGTGCACCCCAGGCAACGTTTTTACTGCAAAATGATCTACATTTCTGGCAGGTTCCCTAGAGGTTGCTGTGCAGGCTGTCGCTTGGTTAGTCTGAGTATATTGTAATGGAATGCTGGTGACTTGTCCCAATCAAAAAGAATGGATGTAATCAACACACTTTAGGAGAATAATATTGAGATTTTTGCGAGACTGTTGAGAAACACTTATAACAGCAAGCAGTCAGGTCTTGAAGAGGTTGGAAACCCTACATAATCAGTCACTAAGGCTTGTAATCGGAGCTGTTAAATCTACACCGATTGATTCTATGTTACTCTTGACCAACAATAAATCTATTACAGCTACCATCAAAGAAAAGGCCTTACTCTTATATGAGAAAATGATTAGAATGGGTGAGCCTTATTGGATGAATTATCCAAATGGTATTACACACAGAAACTTGAAAACACAAAATGGATTTTTTCAATTTGTTCAAAATATTCCGGAAAAATATAGGTTGTCTCATGATTTTCAGGAAATAACAAAACCCTGACACTCTATGGAGATGATAAGAGTCTAATCAAGTCTATATCTTGGAGACTTTTTACACAAGAAAAATACTTCTCCAGATGTACTGAAATGTTATGAAATATCCAGATCCTGAGTGGCTACATGCATATACAGATGGCTCCTTCTTTGATGATTATATGATTGCAGGGGCAGAAGTTTTTTCAAGTCTATTTTCCTTTTACGCTTCTGTAGGGAAATACAGAACAACCTTTGATGGAGAGGTGGAGGCCATTCGCATTGCACTAAAGCAGTTACTGATCTTTGAAGATAAAATTTCAAGAGTGGTTCTGCTCTGATTCTCAAGCAGCAATTCTGGCCATAAGTTCAGATAACGCTCCTCCAACGAACGAAATCTCTTAATGTCGGGGTTACTTGCAGAGGTTGGCCTTAAAGAAAAGGTGTGTTGCACTCCAGTGGATTCCTGGCCACTGTGGAGTTTATGGAAACGAGCAGGCTGATTTCCTAGCTAAGAAGGGCTCGAGAGTGCTTCAGTCAAGATATTCAAAAATATCATATCATTCTATAAAGCTGTATATTAAACAGATTATGACAAAAAATTTAAAGTTCAACTACTCGACTGTGTGCAGTCAAAGCGGTGGAGAGTTGGTGATCTTATGGTCATTACCGATTCTCCACGTCAAGAAGGTGTTGCAAAATTCCGTGTTTTGACCGGACATGACTGTTTAGGAGAACATCTCCATCGCATTGGGATTTTTTACCATCCAAACTGCCCCCTATGTAATTTGGCAGAGCCTATGAATAGAGACCACCTCCACCATTGCTCATCAGTCCATGGCGATTTTGAGACGGCACTGTATTGACATGCAAGAGAACTTTTAATGAGGCAAAGCCTTCGGTCAATTTCCTTTATGTCATCTGTTCTACTCTGAATTTGTTGTTTTACGTATTTCCTTGTATTGCCTTGCCATTAGAAATAAATATATATTATATATATATTTATTATTAGAGGTTATTCATAATTCCCTCTGGGCAGGAACTGGACTATCCCATTGATGTATGCCGTGTGACCAAGGGTTCACACGTAGAACACCTATAATGTATGTAAGTTAAGCTTTAATAGTTTAGGAATAATTTCATGTTTCTTTTCTTTCCTAAAACGCTTCAAAACCCCAGACACACGCACACACAAATATTACTTTTATTCTGACTTTTTGAAAGAGACATAAAAGTAATTATAAAAGTATAGTAACAGTCATAAAAGAGTGCAATTTTACATAGCAAAATACAATAGTGGAACGAAATCAGTCAAATCATTTATGAAATAAAATTTTAAATATGCGACTTTTTTGGCATTTAATTTTTTAGAAGCTATTCAACAGATTTAGCAAAATTTTGTATTTTACTACGTAAAATTACATTCTTTAAAAGGATCTAAAAAATTTTATGGCTCACAATTCAAACATTTTTTTGACTATTAAGTAATTAAAAATATTAAACATTTGCCAAAAGGTATTTTTTGCATTGAATTATCTTATGATAAAGGAATTTCATAATTCTGCACAAGAATTTTTTATCTGCATTTCAAGTTCTTGAGATATACCAAAATATACAAAAAATAAATTTAACAATGGCGTCCAAACATTGCACCACTGTCATGATCAAACTTTCCCAGATTGTGGCAACCTCCTATATTTTGGAGGTCAGAAGGGTATGGTTATTCAGAGAAAGTACGTTTTGTGCCTGCTTTCGTAATTTAACAGACTGCCTACACTGTTATTTAGCATATTTGAGGTTACCCCCTCAAACTATAAAAACTAAATTTTAGAACGTGAAGATCTGATCATTAGACCAAAAGATATTCCGTGTGGTCGGTTTATTTTCTTGCACATTGTACAGGTGGGAAAATAAATTATGGGTGATCGATGGATCGAGGTTCAAATAATAACAAAATAAAATGAACCATTAAACTAACGCTTCCGTTCAGTCATTTTTGAAAAGAAAATATCATAGATGCCTGTGCAATAGAAAAGTGAAATACTTACCTCAAATAATGAAGGTCAGAAATTTCTTTCATGCAGAGCCAGCAGAATTCTGTCCCACACACGCTGCATGTCATGTGATTGCAGGAGCCATCATCCATTTTGATAATTAAAACTTTACAACAAGGACATGGCTTGATGTCATCACCTGCACAATAACATTGCAACATTTATACAAAGCATAAAACTAAAGACAACAGGCTTGTTTACAAAACTGGATTCTGGTAAAAGTGTTTTCATGTTTTCATTGAAAATTCAATGTTTTATTTGTCATTGGCAAAAAAGTGGCAATCTCTGCACAAATTTTAAAATACATATAATTTTGAATTGAATGCATCTAATATAAAAACTAGAAGGAATTACTTAATTTTGAATTCAATAGAAAAACACAAATTAATAGAAATACAGTCTAAGACAAACATATTTAATAAAAATTTATTTTAAAGAAATAAGCATTTCTTGTTAAAGTAACAAAACTACCATCGCGGAGATGCGCCACGGCGTTTATGATTTAAAACATTGAATTTCGGTATGTGAGCTGTAACTAATAGGGCGGCATGCTGGGTGTTACTTTAGTTTGAAAATTCTATTCTCCAAAATTCCACTATTATTCTTCCCCATTTTATCTATTGCAGCGATCTATTTTTATAATTTACGACCAATAATAATTTAAAGAATTAACAATGCATGTGAAAAACAGTTTGTAACAGGCGCTCTTCCCTTCAACCAAACAAACCTTTGACGAAGTTCCCCATACAAGGATGGACTAAAATACCATTCATCCTCCCCCTTTCTTCTGCTGCAGGTGGGAAGGAAAAAAAAGTTAAAGTAAAATACGCATTTCATTCACTGAAACAAATAAGTGGGTTGAAATGATTTATTTTGAAGGTAACGTTTATCCCCACTTTCAGCTTAACGTTAACTTCATTATTATTACTCTCGGAAATATATGATTTCGAAATTTAGAAATGTTCAAGTAAAGTGATGCAACATGATGTAAAAGCATGTGGATAAAAGAAGAATGTGTGAATCGCATTATTTATTTTATATTTAATGTTTATTTTTAACAACCTTTAACTGTTATATTATTTGATTTATTTATAGCTGGGATATTATAAATTAATTATAAAAGAAATAATTCATTCGTGATCATTTTATGCTTTAATTTTGCTCAAAATCAGACTATTTGTTCATTTTTTTATAAATTTCTTGTTAAAAATTATTTTAAAAGTTTTTAGTTGTTCACCATTTGATATGTTAAAATTTTAGCAATTCAAAATTAGTAAAAAGAAATGGGATGTGTCTGTGATTACTTTGAGTAGTACAATTTTGCCCAAAGCTAGATTTATTTTATTTAATTAGTTAAAATACTTTTTGTAAAAATAAATCTTGCGGTCATTTACACCAACTTCAATTATTAGTAACTTTCACATATTTTTTAAAAACTGAAAAACTTGGTGTTACCAGATATAACTTGACATGTTACATCCTGAACAACCAGTTGTTTTTATTTTCAAAAAAACTTATATTTCTAATAAAGTCTCCAAGCGAAGTAAGCTAATGACATCAAGAGTTATTTTCAAAAAATTATTAGAATTCATATTGTTTTTTAACTGAGTTATATGCTTTAAAGTCCGCAAATACGACACTCGTAAATGGTGGAATTGCCCCTTTGTTCCTCACTGGCTAATATATACAAACAACCAGTTTTATGTCCTTGGTAGTCAAAACTTTAATAAAGAAAAATTTAAGAAAGATCCACCTTTAAATTTCACTGCGTGCAAGATTAAAATCTTAACAAACAGACTTCAGAGGAAACGAAGAAAGTAATTTGAACTTAAAAGTAAATGTTAAAAAAGTAAAAGGGTGTGACATACTTTGAACAATGGAGTCTTGACTAAATGATAGGGATGATGAACGTGGATTGGCCCTTTGAGCACGAGCAGCATCACAGGTCTGATTTGGGTGCCATTCCTGTTTGCAGTGGTAGCAAAAGAATGTGTTACACCCCGGTCGCTCACATTTCAATTTAGGACAACCGGCGCAGCCTCTGGCAATCACAGCATATCTAAAATATTAATATCATGTTTGTTAACACTGACCTCAAAAATATTTTACTACTAGGGAAACAAAAATAATGTATAAAAAAGATAAAGGGAAATTAATTTTTCATAAAAGCAGGGATCTGGAATACATCTGTAATTGGAATATCTGATATTAAGATTATTTCGGACTAGACCTTTTTCAGATATTCGTAACCAATGGTCGGAATTTGCGCACTACAAGTAGTGAAACTACTGTGGTTGCTAATTTTTCTAGCAGTTTCTAGTGTAGTGTGCTACTTTTTTAAAAAAGTAGCGTAGTGAGTGCGGCGATACAAAAATAAAACAGTAGTTTGTAGCGATTCCTGGAAACTAATTTTAATGTCAGTCTAGAAAAAAAATACAATTCTAATGCAACTAATTTTTCAAATTTGATGGGTACAAATCTTCGCGGGTCCTTCAATGGATGCAATGAAAATGATCCTGTGGCTGCAGCTACACTTTAACAGAGATTATGTATTCAAAATCACATATAACTAATATTTAAACTAGCCATTACGAAAAATAGGTAATTAATAATTTTGATTACACTTTCACATGTGAATGCAAACTCTTAAAACATTGATGTTATTTCAAAGAAATGGAACATATTTTTGATGTACTTCATTTCTTAGAGGAAATAGAAGATCATTAAACAGTTAAAAAGTTGCCATTATTTGATAATTTTGCGTTTCTTAAATATTCACTGTCGAAAGGTATAAAAAGTCAAATAAACATATTCGACAAAAAATATCTTGGAAAAACAAACTCGCTCTTGTAAACATGAATAAATATTTCTTAATTATACCCTTATATTTAATGTAAGCCGATTTCTAATTCAAAACCATTTTGAACAAGGTGTAAATTAAGTTCTCCGGCAAAATTCGTCTTCTTAAAGCAGTGAAGTAGTTATTACTATTCCAAAGAAATTCGAAGTCACTACATTTAAAAATAAAAAAAAGTAGATGTGTTTAACCAATGTAATAAAGTAGTTGTTGTAGTAAACTGCAAAAACATTGTAGTTTTTCTGACCACTGATCAAAATATTCCAATTACAGCTGTATCGTATCTTTTTCATTTATTTTTATTGTAAAATCTAAAGGTTTTTCTACTAAAAAAAAGAATGTTATATAATACTTTAGCTTTTTTTTTNTTTTTTTTTTTTTTTGAATGACAATTGAGTGGAATATCCGTCTAAAATTTTATGAAATGAGAAAAAGCAGATAATTAGGAGTAGCATTTCATTTATATTTAATGTAAATGAGTTGTTTACCCGCAGTCTGGAGCAGGACACCATCGGGCATCAGGTTCAGTGATGAGGACTCTTCTGAGCATGAAAGACTCATATTTACCGAGGAGTATGTCATCGTTAATTATCATGCAGATGTCACTCGGGTGGATGGGTTCTGTGCACTCTGGACAAGAAATATTTACTCTGGAAAGACATTATTTACACCATTTCAAGTAACATATCTTTTATTATCTGATTCCGTAAAGAATATTTATTAAGTCCATCATAAATAATATAAATCCATTATAAATAAATAAAACCATAAATAAAAAAAAGTATGTCTTATACTTAAAGCATGAAAAAATTGCTGAAATGTTATATTTTGCACAGTAACTACTTTTTAGGAACTAAAGTAAACTTCTAATTTACTTTATTTATTTATTTTTTAAGTTTTAATGATAAATTAGCTCATAATAATTAAATGATGTAAGGATTAAAAAATATAATCAACCTAAAATACTTTTTTAAAGTTTTCATCACTATTTTCTAGTAAAAAACATAAATCATCTCAATGTATTACAAGACCACAGAACAGGTTTGTAGCAATGATTAGAAATCATCGAATAAAGTAGTGTCATTTATTACTTAACCACAATTGAGGGAAAATATCTCTTATTTTAGTTTTATATTTTTAAAATGGGCAGAAAGGTAAGGGCTTTTTTTTTTTTTTTTTTTTTAAATTTTTCTAGAACGTAAGCAATTTATTCATTCATTCTTCTAAATTCAACTAATACTTCTTCACAATCATAAAAGCTTCTTGTCATGGTTGGTTAGGTTTTACCCAATGGGCTTTTCAAAAAAAAAATTCCCATTGATAAACAAAGCATGTATAAAAAATAGAATTATATCTATAAAGCAAAAATTTTTTTTTAGAAAATTTACATTGTCTAAAGAATAATTCCTACAATGATGAAACTTCACCTGTCTTCTGAGCAACTAATCTATTTCGTAATTTTGTCCATATATTTTAGCTGAATGTAGAGCACAAGCTCAATTGATCACAGAACTTTAGGGACAACTTAGTAGTTGGGTAAAAGAAGAACAAAATTCATTATGAAACTTCAGAGATTAAGCTACTAAAATGAGAAAAGAAATTATTATGTTTATATAAGGATTTCTCTTCCTGTAACTATTTTTATTTTTATCCATCATCAGCCCCTTCTCAACATGTTCGACCTCTTTCTCTCTGATCAAATTATAGCATGCGCTGACTCTTATTGCTTTAATTCCTCTCTCAAATTCTCTGTTTGAATGGATGTCAAACACATTTTTAGAAAACATATGGCTGTGTTTATTTTCACTTTTTCTATAAAATTGCTTTTTTATTTCTGATAGACTCATTGTCACTGATTCTTTTCAAATCAGGGTTCCCAACTCAATTTCAGGAAAAAAAATTCCTGACTTTTCTAGGTATATCAGGAAAATTTCAATGAAAATCCAAACCATATTTTATCTATACCATGCAATTTTTCATCAAACATTTTAAATTTTGTTATTTGTAATGCCAAATATTATATTTTGTGAGCAAAGAAATATTATTGAATGAGGATAGAAGCATGAAAGTTTCACTAAAATGAGAAATTTTTATAACAAGTAATTGTAATAGATGTTAGATTTATTTAATGTGTCACTGATTACTGTTACTGACAATTCTGAGACTGATTATTTTCCAGGTATGATATAGGAATTTTCCAGGGTTTTCTTTGGAAAATTGCTACTTTCTCTGCTTTTAAGAGGCAAAATAAAATTCTAGCTTTTACTTGTTCCACCTGACCTATGGAATGTAACTGATAATTTTTTTGCTATTTTAAGTCTGCTTTAGAATTAGTTCCAATAATTCATTAATTTTTATGCACGAATTTCATGGATTAAGAGTGTTATGATGGTATGTTTAAGTTATTTTTGTTAGTCATTTATGGGCACAATTTTATTTAATTCTTTTTGGGCACCGCGTTTTAATTTAAATAATCTCATTTTTTTTTAATCTATATTTTTTTACCTTAATCAACAACCACATCTGATTTTCACTTACACCCCTATCATTCAACACCTTCCAATATTCCTTCCTTCACCCCTGCTTGAGAGTGGATTCATTCACAGGTGTGAATAGTCAAAGCGAGAGTAGCGCCACCCTTCGGTGCGGAGGAATACATGAGCGGGAGGAAAGAGCGGCAGTTCGATTTTAGGTATTCCCTGCTGCTGACGACTGAGATTGAACGTGATCTGTGGAAGGATGCGGGGTGGCCGGCCACGCGCGCTTCTAGGATAAGTCCTTTACCTTTTTTTTAATATATTTTTATGTGCCCGTAATTTCTTTTATTGTTGTATAATTTTGGTATGACGTAACTAAAGAGAAATGATTATTTTTAAATAACCTGTCGAACTAAAATGTAAGTTATGTAGCAGTGAAGCAACTCATTTTTAAATTGTAAACTTATTTGACTTATGATTAAGTTCTTTGAATAAAAATATTTAGTCTGGATTAATTATGCTGTTGGATGTGAATCCTTAAAATTTAATTTGCTTTTATCTTCCAGATCACCAAGATTATTATTGCTGTAAATTTAAATGTGCTAATAGTTTTAAATTAACTTAAATTACTTCTACTTGTTATATCTGATAAATTTTGTTAGTTAAAGTTAAATGTTCTCACAACGCAATTATTTTTTTGAAAAATCATTCTTGATTCCTTAAATCTACTTTTTTTTCTCTATTCAAAAATAAGATATAACAAGAGCATGCGTTTATTTGAAATCTAGATACATTCGTTCAAGTAATTGATTATTTTCAATTCAATTTAGCTTCATTTTATTCTGTACAATAATTATTTTGTTTTTGATTATTTGGTTTCATATAGAATTTTGAATACAGTAGACATCCAATTCATATAAACATGATCTAAAACTTAAGATATAAAATTAAAATTTACGATATACTTAAGCTATAAAGTGGCAGCATATAATTCTGCAAATGAATCATTTTTGATGTTTTCTTAGGAAAGAAATTCAATATTTTGTAAAAACCCAATCTTCAAAAAAATAATAGAATAATAAAAAAACTTCTTTTTTTTTTTAAATGGAGATTTTACCAACAATGTCCCTTGTATAGTGCGGCTTTAAGGAGAACTACTCCAGACAACCGTCTCGCGTTGTGGCGGGTACTATGGTTACGAGGAAAGGTTACTTTGAATAGGGGTGTGCGGTGAATAGCTTTGTCTTAATCTTTGCGTAGGTCGACGTGAGTAAACCAATCGACACCTTTTCTCCATTTCACCCCCATTAGAAACGTGCTCTCGCTTGTTACCATAGCAGCAGACAGTCCCAGATTTTAAGTCTGGAGTTCTCCTCAAAGGTCTGATAGGTCCTATAGGTCTGAACTGTTTCAACCAACCACTTTTTCCAATGACGTCTATATTTTTTGGATGTGTATCCATTTTTTTACTTTTGAAGTTTTTAAAACCTTTCTAATGCCCTTCAAACATCTCATCTTTTTTTAATGTGACGATGGCAGGGGGATTATATTCCAAGTTCCTCTAAACATACCCTAGCCATACTATCTCACATGTATGCAACTCTTCCATTATAACAACCGCTACATGAAATCCTGTTTGATGTTCTATCGAAGCAATATTATTTTAATGCTTATTAGAATGGCAGAACTGAACTGTTCATTCAATAAAATGCGGGGAAGAAAAAAAATTTTTCTTACAATTCGTAGAAAATCACCACAAGAACAGGTGTGGCACCCTGCCCCTCAAAACCTGCCTAAAGTGAACTCTGATTTATTTATTGCATTTTTAAATTGATTTACCAATATTTAACCTAAATGTTTTAAATAATATTGAATGAAGCAAGAACAGGACTTACCTGCTTTCTGTAATCTCTATTCTTAAATACTGTTGTAGGCATTGGTAACAAGCACGATGAGTGCAAGATCTTAATTCAGGAAAACTATGACGAGGGAGCTCAAAAAGGCAAAGGGGACACTCTAGAAACTCTTTGATTTTCTTCAGGCCATCCTGTGAGTTTTCCTTGCTTTCTATGTTGATATTACGAAAAGAGCTCGACTCAGAACTAGAGGAGGATGGACCAGCCAATGGAAAGCGACTGGAATCCCGGCTACTTTGTTGAGTGTGCTGCTAGGTGAAAGAAGATTGTTTGTGATTGGAATGGTAGAAAAATATAATTGGTTAATCTACAGAGTGTAAAATGTGCATCCAGTGTCACAAAGATTCAATCTTTGTGGATTAATCAGAAACATACTATTTTATTTCCTCAGACAATATGTTAAGTAATGAAATGAGAAACATTCTTTTTCTCAATGAACACAGCTTTTTTTTCCAATTTTTAATGCTTAAAGTATGGAGGATAGGTTTAATCTGGAAGTCCAAATAGTTTTGACATGAAAATAAATAGTTTAGCCCCTTATACCCATATTTTTAGTCCATAGTTCATACCCATATTTTTAGAATATTGAACAGGATCTAAATATAGTTTTGAATACAACAGTAATTGGCCCAAAAATAATTCAATACAAAATAAAATTTTAATAATTTATTATAATTTTAATAATTTATTATTTTTTATAATTTTTTGAACTGAAGAGATATCTCTACATAAAAACATATTAATCTACCACAGTTTTCCATAGTTGTCAATGCACTTTTATTGGCTGGAAAATCACATGATATGACCCAGTTTTCCCATATTAATTTCATATTTTTTTCATTAGTCTAACTAAGTACACAACATTCATTATTTAAGCAGTTATTTTCTTAAAATTGTTTGTCTTAAATAAAAACGTTCCATAACAATGGCNTTTTAAACGTTTTAAAGTATTGTATTTTCTGCAAAGAGATTACAAGGTTAACCGACAAAAAGAATTTAGTGTTATATAAACAATGATGTTTATATAACAATCACCACCAACAATTGCTTTCAATATGTCGGTCTAAACACTTTGGCATGCGGCCCTTCATTGGTCAATCTGCTGTGCATGTGGCCCTTCACTGAAAAAGGTTGTGCACCCCTAACCTAACTGATTTTTAACGAAAATATAAAAAAAAATATTTAATTATTTAATTTAAACTGCAAACTGGTAATTTGAATTTTGTTTTTAAATGGGTACACTTAAAAACTTCACAGGAGTTATTTTCATCAAAATTAGTATGAGAAATGCTTCCAATGATTAATATGTAGATCATTAGGTAGATACACATTCAATAACTTAAAGGCAAAAATATTAAAAATCTTAAAATGAACCAGAAAATTATTTTTGTTTTTTTGAAAAGTGTGTGGTGTAGTGATTCAAAAAAGTCAGGAACCTATGACATAGAATCTAAATATGATAAAAAAAAGCTACTATTCTTTCAGAGAAAGTGTATTTTTGCGTGATTTAATTACTTAAAACATTATTTGCACTAATCAATTAGCATGTTTAAAGAAAATCCTTCTAACCATTAAGATTAATCTTAATACACAAAAATCAGATTACCAGGGTTGCCACAGAAAAAAATTAACAAAATAGTTGCTTTTAGTAGCCTAAAGCATGAAAATAGTTCCTGAAAACTACGAAAATAGTTGCCTAAATAAGAACAAAAATTCACCAAAAATATTACTAAAATTTTATTAAATGACTTAATTGTCATATACCATGATCCATTTAGTCAAGTCAGTGGCAAATAAGATAATTTTTATATAAACCTTAGTAGTGTTCTAGCACTAAGTTCTTACATCAAAACAATTAGTATATTAGCAGAAAAATAAATACACTTAATTACTAGAATTCATTCAAAAAAATATCTTTTCATTAAAAAAACATACTTTTTAAAAAAATTTCCCTTTTAAATTCACGCATCGTAATATCGTATTAAAATTTTTTTTGTTTTTCTTACAATTCAAGCGAAATATTATAGCAAATAAGCACTAAAAAGGCGATCGAGAAACGAAATAAGACTTACAATGGAATCTGTGCATATTGAACAAATTAAAACATGGTTGCAACTCAAATCTGGAAAAAAAATTCCCTGTGTTTTCCCTGTACATATTATACACAATATAATAAAAGGAAACAACAATTGCTGTGCTCTAATGTAAACTATATTGGGCTAACTACATTTATTAGTTTTAATTGCTGGAAAAACAGCTGAACATACTTAATAATGCTATAGTAAATGAAATAGTTTAGCTGAAATATCATGGCTAAATAGCTCATAGATTACGCTTTGAGTGGTCACAGTTTTTTAAAGGACAAAAATAAGAAACAAAAGTCCCTGCATTTTCCCTGTTATTTTAGGAGATTTTTCAAATTCCCAGTATTTTCCCGCTTTTCCCTGTGGAGCGGCAATCCCGTAAAAAGGGATGACTCATATTTGCCATTCAAAATTTTTACCATTTCTTTTATTTTTTAAGAAAAAAAAGCATTGTGTTCAGAAGCTCCTGCAGGCCGCAGGTTTTCAACCCAATTTATGTTAAAAAAACATAGCTAGGAGTACAGAAAAGTCTCCCTATAGTCTTCTTTTCCTAAAAATAGTAGCCTTTTTAACCTTTTCAGGCAAAAAAAAGTTGCCATAGATGTCTTATGCCGAAAATAGTTGCATTTTAGTCGCCTGTGGCAACCCTGGATTACTCTAATTTTTAATTTCACACTGTAACAGTTAGAAAAATTACAGAATTTGGAATGCGTGTATTGAATTTAAAACTGAAATCATTTGTGTCATTTTAAATTAGCAGTGTTTTCACTACCAGGGATGAGATTAGCCAAAAGGCAAAAAAGCTGAATTTCCACGATAGTAAATTTTACACAAGCGCAACTCTTTAATAATAAATTCCAGACAGTTTAAGGTAATAAATAATGTGTTGACATACAATTGTGTACTAATCTATTATTATCTAAATGATTACATTGATACTTAACATTTAGTGACAATAAAAATTACCAATTGAAAAAAATAAAGCTGGAAATTATATCTTTCCTCAGTTTACATAAGAGATAATTATTACTTGAAAAACTACCTGGTTTAGCAAATTAAAACTACTGAGAATATACATTAATATTTCATTTCCTTTAATAAATACTGTTATGTGATTTATAGCAAATATATCAGTAATATTACTTTTTAAATTATATTGGGAAAAAAAACTTTAACAATGGACCGAATCATTATGTTCATATTATAGTCTAATCTAACTAGAGCCCTCTGAAACATATCAATAACAGTGAAGTAGAAATATATAGTAACTCCTTAACATACAAAAATTGCTATTTTAGTTTGAAAAATTACATGACAATCAGCAACTGTTTAGATAATTGTTTTTTATTTGATAAGAATTTTGCATTTTATAGCATAAATAACAGCAATTATAAATAAAATTTTGATGATGAGTTAATTAACTCTTTTTCCAAAAAAAAAAAATTAAATTGAATCCCTTTTTAAGTTATTGCTTTTGTTTCCTATATCTTTTATGTTTGCTATATTTAGTCGTTAGTCCATTTTCAAACATCTTGTGACAAATCCTATTTTTTCTTCTTTGCAAGCACAGAATGTAAGTTTTGAATATATTCCCTTCCAGTTTCTCTGATGCTGTAACACTTACATATACTAATAATCGTCGTTAGAAAAACAGTCACCTTTATAGTAACTAATTTTTAAAAAAATTTACTTCTTACAAGATCGCGATAGTTGATCTTAAAATTACGTGAATATGAATTTTGAAATTACATGAATATGAAACTAGATATACGATTTTGAAAATGAGAAAATACAAACTGAGATATAGAATTTTTGAAATGCGTAAATAGAAATCACGATTCATAATTTTTAGATCGCGTAAATACGAATCATGATGTGTAATTTTTAGATTGCATAAATAAGAATTATGGTGCATAATTTCTATCAATGTTTGATATTATAAACCGCATGAGCAAATCAAGACATTGAATTTTAAACTTGCGTGAATACGAATCGCTACATAGGTTTTTAAAAAGGCGTAAATACGAATCAGAATATTGGATTTTTAAATCTCGTAAATAAGAATCGCAATGTACAATATTCAAATCGCGTGTATAAGAACCGCAACACGCAAATATGAAAAGCTATGTCTGATATTACAATCGTGTGAATAAGAATCGAGATATTAGCAGATTCCAGGCTTGGGACCTCCAAAAGGTTTGTCAGAAGCAGCGTCGTTAGAACTACGAAAATCGGATCTATCTGGAGGGCGGGTAAAAAATTCGGAAAATCTTATCTGCTGCGTGTAAAAGGGGAGAAAATAGCTAAAATAAGTAAAAATGAGAAAGGATTGGTAGCTATGTAGTTTGATTTTTCTGTTTCTCTCTGAAAATCGGTAAATTTTCTGAAAAAGCGAAATACTTATTAAAAAAAAGTGAAATTTTTAGAAAATCTGAATTTTTGATTAAAAAAAAGCTGAAATTTAAGAGATAAAAGAGAAAAAAGCAGAAATCTGCTAAAAAAGCGGAAAAATCTCATCCTTGCACTACAGAGCCAGAATGCGTAAATCTTGCATATTTTTTTTCTTTTTGCGCATTAAAAAATTATTAATGTGAGAAGTTCGTACACTCTATTCATTTTAAAATGCGCGAACCTCTCAAATTTTGGAATAAATTTTGTTTTCTCGCCATTTTGAAAAAGACATGAAAACAGCTACGACAAGTGTTGAGAAGAAAAAAAAAATGAGTCCTTTATCAACTACTTTAAAAATAGTTGTTCAAAGTTAGCTCTGTTTTTAGTTGTTAATGAATTACCAAACTCCCTCATAGACAATTTACAGCAATTTATAAAAGTTGAAAGCTATGCTGGAAGACCTAACAAGAAGTATGAACATGGAAATAATTTCTATGAACTTCACTATTCTAAAACAGAAATAATTGAAAACTCTATGCTGGCAGATGTAGAGGATAGGAAAGTGTGTGCACAATGCTACAAATTTAATTAGTGATTCCAAATAGTTCAGCATCTGTTGCAAGGTCACTTAGCACCCAAAATCGAATTAAAACAAAATATTGTAACAAATTGCATTTGAGCAACTTAATGAGAATAGCTGATGAAAAAGTGATATAGAACATTTTCCATATGATGATGCAGAAAATATTCAATGGTTTAGAAATTATAAGATGTTAAAAAAGTATTATAATTAAAGAAATTTTTTTTTCAAGTCTACTCGTGTTTTTTTTAGTTTTTAGAAATCTCACTTAACTTTTTGAAATCTCACCCTGTTTTTGAGAAAGGGTGAGAAATTCTCTCCCATTTTTTTTCTGATTGAAAACACTGATTCGATAATAATACTCGCAGAACATTTGTAATTTTAAGGAGTTTTGTCACAGATTTAATTCTGCTCTTTGCGAGGATACTCTTATTCATCAACTGATGGTGTCCAGATTTTAATCTATAAATTTTTTTTTTATTTATTTAGTTCCTAGTAGCAAAAAATATAATAAAAACTCTAATTGAAAAAAAAAAAACATTACTTCTGAATAACAGGACCTGAAAATTGCATCAAATATGGAGCAAACAAAATTGTCTCATTTTCTTTGTTTTCCTGATAATTAGCTTTTAATAATTCATTTAATATTTATTACTTAATAAGATGCTTAGGTCAATTAGGCCATATTTATATCAGACTATTTTTAGAAAAGGAAAACTAAAACAGAAGCACAACTTGCTCTATGCTCTACTTAAGTTCAATAAAAGTAAATTATACTGCAAAATTAAAACAAAATACCATATTTTTAATTTCAGAATTGCTTTGTTTAAAACAGAAAAGGTTTACAGTTTTCAAATTAAATTTATGGATAGGAAAGAGTCTAGGGCAAAATGAATCACCGGCCACAAGACCTCTAAATATAATAAATAGCAAATAAAAAATTCAGTCAGTCACCAATCTATCAAACAAGTAAGCAGCACATCCATGCGGATATTATCGATTTTAAAAAAAATCTCATCTTCATCATTTAAAAAATTTTATTATTCTAATTTCGGTTATTCTTGCTACATTAAAAAAAAATTTTATTGGCACTTTTTATCAGGGTAGTTCATATTTTTTTTATTTTTTTAATATTAACAGAATAAAAGATAATTACTAATATCATAAGAAAATATTTTAACAAAGCTAACAAAATCATGACATGACTTAGTACAGTTGGAAAAAATTTTAGATAAAGAGGTTTAGAGTTATATAGGTACTTTAAAAAATTACTTTTAATTAAGAAATTCTATTAAAAGTGCTTTAATTGTTTTTAGTAGAAAAATACAGACATTTCTGCAAATTAATTATACCACATTAATTATACCATATTAATTATACCACATGCATCTACTTACATAAAAAAATTTTAACATACACACTGAAAATAATTTTTCAAAGATTTTTGATGTCTAACCTTCCTTATTTCAATAATTCTTTTATGGTCAGAAAGAGCAGCAAATCCACCACAGCCAATATTTTTTTAGGATTCAAGAAAAGTTTGTAAGAGTTCTACAGCTTTTTCTGCTTCTTTGCTCTCAATTTTGGTTTATCAATATGATTTTCATCTGCAATTTTTTAACATTATCTATGATTTCCGCATCTGTCAATGTTCTGCATGATGCCAGAAGTTGTCCACGCATAAAAATCTTCAAAATTTATTTCAACATTAAATCCAGATTTTATTGCAGCGTCAGCAGTTTCTTCTTCTTTACTGATGCCTTCAACCTCTTGTTCAGCATCTTCACAGCTATTCTTAAAACAAGCCATTTAAAAACCATTTTGGATAATTTTTAGAGACACATTTCTCCAAGCAGAACAGTCATTCTGATAGCATCAAACATTTATTTTTGGAAGAGAACTTTTTTCATCGATGGCATCTACAAGTTTGCATACTAACTATTTTCTATAGTTCACTTCAAAACTCCCAATTATCCTTTGATCCATTGTTTGCAATTTTGAGGTGCTTAGCTTTCTTATCCATGTTGAAATGCTAACCCCTGGTGGTCCCTCCGTCCTACCCATCAACCTCTCACTTACTGCCAGAATCATTGTATTCTTTTCAAGTTAAGGAAGTGCGGGGACAGTGATCGAAATTCCAAGAAACACCCCTAACCTGTTCATCTCTACTTTCACCAAATTTATCTCAGTCTGCAAGTTCTACTGATAAAGTTATGTTTGGACATTTGTGGTCTATTATTAGAAATTCAAGAAACAGGGGTTTTGAAGAAAAAAATTTTCGACATAAAGGAAAATACATTGATTTTAGATAGCAAATGCAGGGAATTTTAGAAATTTCAAGATATAGAGGTTAGAAATAAATAAGTTCAACTATGTTTGGAAATTGGCACTGAAATTCATAAATTTTTGTTATAAGAAAATATTATTTTCTAGACTATTTCACAAAAAAATACATTTTTAAAAAAATAAATAACAGCGAGATATGAAAAATTCCAGATTAGTTTTCCTTCAACTTTAAACTAAAAAATGAAATAGAATTTAATTTGAAGAAAAAAATTTATCCACTATATCTTACTTCATTGCCCTACATATACTAAAAAGAATTTCATTGGCTTAAGGTTACAATCCCACATCCAAAAATTTTCCTGGTGATTCGATTAAGATCAATTAATGAACATAAAATTTTTATTGGCAATCATTTTGTTTTAAAAATAATTTTTGAAATTAAAGGTATATTGTTATTAATTTGATAGGAACACAATCTGAAATCAATATTTTTGCTAATCAGACAAGCTGATATATAAATAAGTAAATTATTAACCTTTTTAAAATTTCTTTCAGTAAAATTTAAAATTCATAAAACATTTTTCAATTATCAAGATTAAAAATGCATTTTAATAATTTTAATTTAATATGGTTCTTTAAAAAAAAAAAATCTGTTTAAAATGAAAAAAAAATCACTAACAATTTAAGTATAAATTATCAATAGTTTAAAAATTTACAGAAAATTTATTGATTCTCAGTTAACAGCCATATTCAACTTTCAATCAGCTTCATTAATTTCAATTTACTTATATTCTTTGGAAAAAATGTAAAATTGAATAAATATTTATTAAAAAATGAAAAAAAATACTGAATCTCAATTTTATAAAATAAAAGCAATATAAGATTTATTTAAAAACTGATAGTCAAATTTAAAAACTACAAAACAATAAGAAATTATTACAATATTAAAATGCTCAAAATGTCACTCAACTTTAAAATGTTATCTCTAAATATATTTTTACATTCTTTAATCAAATGATCAGGTCATAGTTTTGAATAATAACTTCCATTTTTATCAACAAAGCAATATTACAAATACATAAACAAGATAAAAGATAAATTATTATTGTGAAAGATTCAAATTTAACTGATAATTCTTTCAGTAGAAAGAAACTACTTTTCAAGAAACAAGAATACAAATATAAATAGACACACTATTTAATAACAAAAATAAATAAACAATATAATTCAGATCCCAATATTCTAAATTATTTAAAAATTAAAGGGCAATATATGGAATAAAACAATCAAATGAGTGAAAAGCTCACAATCTTTTATCCCTTCTGATTATAAGGTTGAATATTTTAAAATTAACATTCAATTTAATCATCAATAAAAAACAATCCTTTCTAAATAACTTACTTTTATTGGCACGCCTGTTCCTAAACCAATAGAACTACTTTCAGAACGTCTATCACCGTCAAAACTAGCGGCAGGACAACGTTGTGCAGTTGTCCGATGTGTATAAGAGGATATGTTAAAAAATCTGGCAAGAGAAAAGCGACTCAGGCCATGTTTTTTAGGTGGATTAGGCCCAGCAAAACCTGAAGATGAACCAGCCATATTTGTTATGAAGTATTAATGCTTGTTTGGAAGTATACTGCAAAAAAGAAAGAAAAAAGCACTGAGAAACACCTTTGAAATAAAACTACAAACTTGTATTTATACTTGTATAAATACAGAAAAACTAAAAAATGTAAACTTTTAAACCTCATTTTTAGTGTAGGCAATCTTCTGACAGAAGTAGTTCTTCACTTTCAGGATAGCAATTGGCAAAATCCTCATACATACAGCCTTTGATCTTTTTTTTAGTCTTTCTCTTGGTCTTTTTAGTTGGAGGGGGTCATATTAAAATCCCTCAACGCTGATCGTCCTGGGGTCATTTTCATTAGTTTCATAGATTTAATAGTATCCACACTTTTAGATACTTTATAAATATCAAAAAAAAAAAAAATTTCTTCCAGACATGACTTTTTTCTCAAAACTCTCCTTTCAGAGAAAGTTAAGATCTTCTTTGTCAAGGTCACTGAGGCAGAAGTCAGGATTGATTATAGTAATGCCATGCATTACTATAATACAGCAAAATCTTTATTTTTATTAAATAGGATTTCAATAATGATCTTAAACTGAAGAAGCAGTGATTTGCTATGATTCCTAATTTCAGGACTAATGTCATTTTGACAATTTATTTTGATTCTAAATAAGTAAAAATTTTCTTACAGATTCAAATTTAAGATAAAAGCATTTAGATTTTAGTAACATATTCTTTTTTATAACAATACATATATTTTATTTCCTCTTCATTCATCTTGAATTCATTTTTCTTACTTATTTTTTCAGCACCAAAATGATTTCACACAATGCACCCATAGATCATGCAGTGTTTTCATTACAGGAAAAAAAAATGGGAGAGAATTTCTGATCCTTTCTCAAAAACAAGGTGAGATTTCAAAATGTTAAGTGAGATTTCTAAAATTTAAAAAAACACGAATAGACTTGGAAAAGAAATATTTCTATTTTTTCTATTCTGAGTTTAGAAGTCAGAAGATGTTAAAAATTCATTATAATATTTTTAAATAATTATATTAAATTTTTAACATCTTCTGACTTCTAAACCATTGAACATTGAATATTTTTGCTGCATTATCATATGGAAAATGTTCTGTATCTTATTTTTCATTAGCTATTCTCATTAGGTTTGCTCAAATGCTTACCAATCGATCTGTTACGATATTTTGTTTTAATTCGGTTTGGGGGCTAAATAACCTTGCAACAGATGCTAAACTATTCGGAATCACTAATTAAATTTGTAGCATTGTGCACACACTTTCCTATCCTCTACATCTGCCAGCATAGGTTCTTCACTTATTTCTGTTATGGAATAGTGAAGTTCGTTGAAGTTATTTCCATGTTCATACTCTTTGTCAGGTCTTCCAGATTAGTTTTCACAGACTTAAACTTTTACAAATTGCTCTAAATTGTCGATGAGGGAGTTTGGTAATTCATTAACAGCGAAAACTAGAGATAACTTTAAACAACTTATTATAAAGAACTCACTTTTTTTCTCAACACTTGTCATAGCTGTTTTCATGTCTTATTCAAAATGGCGGAAGACTAAATTTTTTCCAAAATTCAAGAGATTCGTGCATTTTAAAATTGATAAATTCAGTGCGCGAACTTCTCACGTCAATCATTTTTTAATGCGAGAAAATAAAAAAAATATGCGAGATTCTCGCGTTGTAGTGAAAACACTGTCATGTAATAATATCTACATCAACATATACCAAAATATGTACTGAATGTATAAATGAAAACAGTTCAGTATAAAAACAACTAGGAATTAAAATTTTAGTTAAAAAGATAATCTTTCTAAATATACTTAAATATGTTTAATTTCATTCCTGTTAAAATTATGTGAACTCTTTACACCAATGTTAATACACTTTTTTAACCTATTCTTAATTCTAACTATACAACTATGTTAATACACTTTTTTACCTATTATTAATTCTAACTACTATAATATAGATTACATTTTTTAAGATTTTACAGTCTTTAGGAAACATTTTCACCTGTGAGAAAAATGGCCACTATAAAGCTCTAAAATTTGGTCCCTTATTAAACATCCGCGGATGATATAATAAAAAGTGAAATAGGGAGAATAATTTCTAGTGACACTTGCAATCTAAAGAATTTTATTGCCAAATTTGGAACTGATACTTGCACAGTTACATTTATGTTAATAAATGACTGTTTTTGAGAGTTTAAAAAAATTATGCTGACAAATGTACTGAGGAATGCAAAAAGCAAAGTTGCCAACTTATTAACATTAATATCATATCTTTCCATTTTAGATGTCACTTTAATTGAGTAGTGAGTAGATTAAAAGTAATGAAGTTAAAAGAAATATGCTTACAAGCCATTTTAGTAATTTAAAATCACTAATTTCAGAAAATGAACTAAGTGTTGGATGACAATTTAGTTGAAGGTTGAGTATATTCAAAACTAATATGGAGGTTAAGACTAAAAATTAAGTTGGATACATTTTAGTAGTTACAAATGTGAAGGGATTAATCATGGAAAATAAGAATTCAGTACTTGTCAGAATAAGATGTCAAATGCTGTGTATCACAATTAAAAAAAAAATATATGAAAATGTTATATTGAAAATTATATTTGCATTGATCATAGTACAAGAACATATTTTTCTTTTCTTTTATATATATACATACACAAACTGAGTAGTTTTAAACAGTACACCTTTAGTAACATTTACCAAGTAGTAAGAAATGAATCACTTAAGGAAATAGGAAAATATAGATCCGAAATACAAAAAATATATAAAATAAAGTTATTAAAATAAAACTTAATATTCTAAGAAATTAACGTGTAATCAATACTTACGTATTTCACATTCGAGAAATAAATGTATTGGTCTATTTAATCAAGGTGAGATGTATAATTTATATTTCTGTTAGTCGATATTCAATTGTGCTGTTCTAAGCCTAAGTGGATATTTAAATCAATTCTAATCAAGTTAGAGATTCCACGAACTTAGTAATGTATTATTTATCTTTCACCGTTTCTTAAAATTTAAACTGTATGTAAACATTAACACTCGCCCCACTGGAAAACGTCATTTCCAGGTTTTTAATGGGAGCTTCCTCACAAACCCACATACCTTCCATATTCGTCAATCGTCACCAATAACATACAAGTAGTAGTAGAAGTTTTTCCTTCACATCACCATCATCAACCTTGCTTTGGCCTTGGAGCAACAAATTAAAACATTCACTTTTAAAAATAAGCGAAGAATTAGATACTATTTCACAAAATTAAAAGCTAAAAACTAAACTAATTTTTGAAATTTAACAGTTGTAGCATTATTTGTAACACAGAACAACGAAACAACTCATTCTCTAAATAAAAAAAAAATCACTTACCTATCATAATGAAAACTATCTAAAGAATGAGAAATTGACATCTGTGAAATATTTTTAGGTAATCGGCTGAAATAACTTCAGTTGAATTTAGTTATCAGATAACATGTTCGATTTGTGTAACGTCGTCAACATGACGTAATTGTCCGTTGTTTTGATTTTCTCTCTTCCTTCACTGTTGACTTCACTGATGAAATTAATTCTTGAAATTTCACGGATAAGAAGTTTAAGAAGCATGGTGTCGTTGTTTTGAAGTGTGATCAAGGGTAAAAAAATGTAAGTTTATGTTTATTCTTTTTAATTTACTCAGAAATACCTAATTGACTGTAAAATTAGATATTCTAGAATGAGTTTAAAGTAGATACCAGGCTAGGCACTCCATAACTTATGTTTAAATCATTTCTATGTAGAGCAGTCCAATATTAGGGAACGAATTATAATTAGCAAAAAATGTAACTATTTGTTTAAATGAGTTATTACTTTTTTCAATTAAGTTAATATTTAGTACAATTTTTAGAATAAATTTCCTAATTACGTATTCTAATTTATTATGTAGTAATGGCTTGAGTACGTCTACATTCTAAGCTATGCAGCTCGGCAATCAATCAAAAGAATAGTTTCGAACTTATTCATACAAAACTGAAAAATAAACTAAATGCAGTGGACTTCAAAACTTTTTTTCTTTAATTGCATGCTTTAGGGAAAGAAAGAGGTGAAATGAGAGTAAATGAAAATTTATTTTACATTTAATGAATAAGACGGTTGTTGAGTGTTTTTTATTTAGCTGATTGTTTTTGCAATTTTATTTTCACTAATTTAATAAATTAACGGATTGGTTCAATTGAAATTTTACACAATTTTATCTATAATTAATTAATATTTTCTGCACCAAAATTTGAGTTTTTGAGGGAAATTGTCAAAACAAAAAGAGTTAAATGTCAAACAGAGCTCATTCTAGGTAAGGTAAACAGGGTGCAGGGTACCCTGTTGCCCCTGAAGTTAATTAGTGCCCTGATGTAATGTACTTCATACCCTTTTTTCCCTCAACCCTTTATTTTTTTCCCCAAACTCTACAATGGATTTCTTAAACTTTTGTTATTTTCAACTCTTTATTTCGTTTGTCATTGCTGTCAATACATAGATTTATATGGGAAAGGAAAAATAGCCATCACACCTCCTTGTTGCACTTGTCTTTAAAAGTTTGCAGTTACTTCCACTATCATTAAGTCATAATTACTATTACTCATTTTAAATATTAAATTATAACTACAGACACTTAAAAACATACACTTATTATTTTATTAATATACACACGCATTTTAAATAAATTACTAAGCTAATTAGCTCATTAACTTAATATATGTTAATTTATTAATGAAAATTAGTAATTAATATGATTGCTTTGCTACTTTTAGTAAAGTAAAAAGAAAAATTTCTTTTACTAATTGACAATGTTTTTTAATAGAACGTGTAAAGCCCATAGAAAGAACTTATTACCTTTTTTAGAATAATAATGCCCCTTTTTTAAACTTTTGCACCCTGTCCTTTTTTCTGCCTAGAATGAGCTCTGTGTCAAAATAATTCGTAATTGATTTATCACTTATAATTTTATATGTATGTTTATTTATGAATATTTCTCACTTATATCTAATACACCAAAATTTTGGGATTTTGATATGAGGGATAAAACCGTCAATTGTCAAAAACTTTCCTACCCTGAGTAGAAAACTGTTTGGCATCTTGACAAAAATAGTTGATCTGAACAATTACCAATAATGAAAATTCCCATTAAAGTGCTACACTGTCAATTCTTGTGTTTGTAATAAATTTTAAAAAATATATTGTGGTTTCCTTGTAAGTTGCTACAAAACCCTATTAATCCACTTAAATTTTATTTGTTCCTCAATCTTGTTGTCATCAAAAACTTTAAATATGGGTACCAATGTGAAAATCTTCATATACATTTAATTGAGTCACCGGGGTAATTCTTGGTCAAAAAGCATTAACATTCTACCCTGCTTAAAGGAATACCATTGGTTTCAGCTAACTCTATTCAATTAAGCAGGCTATTCGATTAAAAGGGGAGTGTATCTTAAATTTTAAATTTTTGTGAAATTTAATTTTTTAATGGTATTTAATGCATAGTATATAGTGTTTTAATTAAGTAAACTCAATTTTATAATGAATAAACAATTATATTTAAAGCTGTCTGTGTTTGCCCTGTGACAGAATTTGTTGTGGGCTTTCTGCAAGATACTTTTAAAAATAACAAATATACATGTTACTAAATTAAAGTAACTAAAGCATCAACTTCAAAAAAAAAAAAAAAGGAAACTTTTCAGATCAAATAAAATTATTTTTTAATTAAATATGTAATATGACTTAATTTTCGTCCTAAAACTATGGCGCTTTTCTGTAGTAATGTTTCGCCTTTTTTAGGGATAACAGGAAGGCTGGTGTCGCCTCTTTTTGTTGTTCTATATATTCAATAGTACGTTTGATAGCTTTTAGTCCATCTGTATGAGAGATTTTTTTATGTTGATTTTAATAATCAATGTCTTCATCATCTTCGCTAGATTCATTATCATTATTGACGATATTAACGATAATTTCACTAGACCAAGTTGTTGGATTTTGTTTTTCTGAGTGTTTGGAAGATAAAATTCAGATTTATTTTTCAGTGGTTTTTTTAAAAAATAATCTAAAACAAAAAAAATCCTTGAAATATTTGATAGCTCAGTTAAAGCGGAAACTCGGATAATCGGGACTCTACTGTATGTGGAAATCAATAGTAATAACTGCATTAAAAAAAATTGGAACGAAATATTCTGCCGAAAAGAAAACCAAATTTTTTACTTCATTAATCTTTATTTTTCATTGTTTTCAAATGAGAATAGAAAAAGCATTTTTTTTTCCACTCGTATGCGGATCTTTTGAATATAATTCTGAAGAAAAGATAAAATCTTTCGAAAATTTCTGCAGATAAAAAAAAAACTTTTTACTTCCCAAAAGAAAAATCTTACTGCAAGAACTCGGTAACGTTCTACGACAATGTCGCCACGATTCTGTGTTAGTATCATAAAAATTCATTTATACAAACTTAAATTTATTTATTAATTTTGAATAGGGAGGACCTTCAAGTTGATTTATCTACTGTTTTATCTCAAAAAGAGGCAAAACATAAGAAAAAATCTGGTGGTTTTCAGTCAATGAGTAAGTATGTCTCCTTTTGATTCTTTAGTTACAAATTTTTGTAATTGATTTAAAATATTTTTTAAAGCAAACTTAAAGTTAAAAATCTAATTTCAAGAGGTGTTTGTCTCTCTAAAACATTACTTTTCCCACATGCTACTTATCAATTTTGTTTTGTATTTTTTTTAATAGATATAACTGTTAATAAAGAACTTATCAAAACTTATTAACTCATTAACATCATTAATCAAAACTTATTAACTGTACTTTCAAATGTCTTGTTTATGAAACATTCTAAAATTTTGAAAATGATAAAAGCTTCAGATACAAATGAAAATTGTATAACTTATAAGTTTTTAACATTTTAAAATATAAATAAAAATATAGTTGTAATTACATGAACAAATTTAAAAGAACATTTTATTTTTTATCTTAAATTGTTCTTATTTTAGAACAAACTTATAAATTAAAGTGGATTTTTGCAGCGCTGGACGATCATTCAGTTTAATAGTATTTTTTGTTACACTAAATATTCTTTCGATTATTGGCTAGATTAAATTGCTACAAAATGTATGCTGACTATCAATGGGAAAACTGTTTTTTCCCCTTTTTACATGCACTACTAGAATAAAATTAAGATATTAAATGATTTTAACTTAACGTTTTTAAAATTTAACCTAAAAACACCCTATTTAAACAAAACACCAACAAAAAAAATTTTTAACCCTGATTTTTTCTAAACTTTATTCTTATAGTATATTGAGATGAGGTTTTGTGAATGCAGTGATTCTTAAAGTGCAATGGATATTGAATTAATAAATTTTTTACCCTGATTTTTTCTAAACTTTATTCTTATAGTATATTGAGATGAGGTTTTGTGAATGCAGTTATTCTTAAAGTGAAATGGATATTGAATTTAAAAAAATTTTTTCCCCCTTCTAGACTTGAGTCAATGTCTTTTGAAGTCTATTTTAAGAAAAGGTTATAAGGTCCCTACTCCAATTCAAAGAAAGGTTTGTCTATATTTTTCAGTATGCATTTAAATGTTTGTAGTATGAAAATTATTTTTCTGTCCGAAGTGTCTTTATAAAATTTCAAAGTATATTTATGGAGTCTTATTTCATTGAACTGTATTTTTTTTTTTTTTTTTTTTTTTTTTTTTTTTTTTTTTTTTTTTTTTTTTTTNTTTTTTTTTTTTCTTTTTTTTTTTTTTTGTAAGTTTTCTTTTCTAACTAAGGATTAAAGCTTTCAGATTTTCTGTTGGATTTTGTTCCTTTCTTTTGAAAAAATATTTTTTGATTTGTTAAATATGTAGTGATGTTTATTTCAATGACAGATATTTTACTACCTGTCATCTACTTCTGTGTTGCAACAGCTAATTTAAAGTAAATAATAAATCCAAAATTTGAATTCATTGAAACATTTTCTATGTATATGTGGTAAATATTTTCCTCATAGTTTGGTTTCTGAGTAGAAAACTG